TTCTATGAACTAGATCGATGACTTAATGTGAAATGGTGCTTTATAAATATTTATAAAGACATTTTGTCAGCTTTATTGTCATTATTATTGTATTTAAAGCTGTGAATACTGTACTTTAGTAGCCTTTTCACTATATGTACTAAAATTGCAAATCAGTTACAATTCAGTAAGTCAGTTTTTCTTAAAATAAGTGCATTTTCTCTTGAATTAGGCAGGTAAGCTACACACTTTGCCAAAAGATTAAGACAATTTACATTTCAAATATGAAAAAAAAATTGCAGTTTCTTATTTCAAGTGTATATTAATATGATTACCTTATTTTAAGGGTAAATATTCTCATTCTTTTGGCAGCCCATCTTATTTTCCTAATCAAATTTAGGGTAAATAAACTTATTTTAAGACATTATTACTCATTTTCAGAACGTTTTTTGCAGTGTAACTTGAGTATTTATTTTCCTGAGGACTAGTTGTGCTTTCTACTCTTTTCTTTCTCCAAACTTGCTCCTTACTTCTATGCAAGTCGACTTAACAGCAGCAACAGAAGCAAACCGGATAAATCAAGAAGAGAATCTCCCAGTTATATAAAAAACTCTGATAATGAGCTGGATGAAGACAGGTTGCTGCAAACATTGGAGATGATGCCTGAGATGCAGGACACTCCCATCCATACCTCCTTTATGTTGATTATGTTTCAGGTTTAATCTGAATTCTAAAGCTATTTCAGCTGATGACGCACAATCTATATTATCCATTTTATTTCAGAAAACTAGAGTAAGTCAGTGTTTCTAATGTTCTTTTTATCAACAGAATTGTGCCACAGAGAAAACTCGATATATACCCTGCGCATAACAACGTTTTTATAATGTTGTTTACATTTACTGAAGTAAAATTAGTTCAATCTGTACGTTTACTATTGTTTATTAATATACTATTGCTTTATATTTAATATACAGAAGAGGTTTAGGGCCACTGGAAAAAAAAATTGAAAAAAAAAGTTTAATCCAGAATTCTGAGAAAATTCTGAGATTAAATTCAGAACTCTGAGGGAAAAAAAAGTCAGAATTAGGATTTTTTTTCATTCGTAAAGTAAAATAAAATAAAAAATTAAGATAAAAAATAAATAAATAAAAATAAAAGACCCAATTCTGCAGTGAAATATCTAAAATCGTGCTCTGTTCATTGCTACAGTGGGCGGTGACCCACAGGAAGCTTTCTGACTCCCAGGTGAGAGAAGACGCTCTACGGGAAGCTCACAGCTCTGATTTCTGTGCAGCTCTGCAGATGCTGTAAACGCGTGTCAATGGCGTGACGTCATCAGACGTGATGTTGACACCGGAGAAGTAACCCGAGTGGGAAAAGTGCGATTGTGGAGCCAACGATGAACTGTCCCATAAATGAGCATCGTGAGGTTTTGAGTAAAGTTTATGTCGCTGCTTTCATGGGAGCGATTTCTGTCCACGCGTGTTTTTAGACCCACTACAAAAAAAAAAAAAAGCAAACAGCTCTGTTTGGACGCTGCTATCAGCCGAAGCCCAGCCTGCCGTATAGACGCCCACGGAGGAGAGACTCCAGGAGATAAACATGTGGAGTAAAATCTAAAGAAGACCCAACATGCGATGGGGTAACGATCTGCTTCTGGTTGCCTGCTTGGTTGGAGGGCTGCTTGTTCTGAGCGGCAGCGGCTGAGAGGAGGAGAGGCTTTGGAGGCCATTGTTATCAGCTCCAAGCGGTGAAGGCAGCGCTGGTGCCGGGGCGGAGGGTGGCAGTGGAGAGGGGCGGGGTGGTGGTGGTGGGGGGGTGCGAGCAGGCAGCAGCAGGCTCCCGGTAAGCCTGTTCAGCTTGTGGGCCAGCTAGCCCGGATACAGCCTGCATGCGTCGCCCCGTGGGGGGAACGCGCGCCTTTATCTGACACCTCGGAACCCGTCGGCGCTCCCACCTGCCAAGGCGCGCAGGGTGTCCGGTCCGCTCGGCGCGCTGTGCCGCCGCCGCCGCCGCTCCAGGAGGGGCTGTTGTGCTGTGGAGGCTGCGCTAGTCGGAGGAGAGGAGCCAGGCATGAAGCTAACGGAGGGTTAGTTCGTTCGATTATTTCCTTATCGGTTGTGATCAGATGTTGTGAGGACGCATGATGCGGCGCTGCTGGGTCCGATCCGGACTGGACCGGGACTGCCGGTGCTAAGGAAGGTAAGAGACATGAGTGGCAGTCCATCATGCATGAAGTGAGGCCAAACTGGGAATGTAGCGGTGGAATATAGGCTGCGTTTCCCGGCTGTTGGCTTTGTGAGCGGCGGGTGGCTGGCTCAGTGATTTATGGCCCATATGACTTGAATCTCGGTTCAAGAAGAGTTCACAAAGCTTTTAGCTGCAGGACCTACCAGCAGTCCCCTTTTCTCTGGCTCGTCCATCTCTGTCCTCCTCTCTCCTGCCTTTTTTCCCTCCGCCTGTGTAGCTAACTCATTTATTTATGCAAACAACCGCCGACCATTTCTGTTATCCCTCCATGCTTTCTCCCCAGCACTATAATAATAATTATTATTTTCATCTTCATAATGTGAGCAGGCCATTGTTGTGTTTTTGGATTTTTTCATATCATTTCTGCGTGATTTGAGCCTGAATCATGAACCATAGCGGCTCTGCTGAGGCCAGCTTGTTGGTGTTGTTGCTGCTCTTCCTTCCGTCTGTGTTTTTGTGTTAATGGGGTAAAGGAAAAAGCCTCGTGGACTGTCCAAGTTAATGGATTCTTTTTCTGTCTCCCACTCTGCGTGGCTCTCCATGGCCGGCGCCATTTGTAATTTTATATCCCGGGATAAAACACAGACACTGGACACCAAGGCCGACTTCTACCTCCCTCCCTCCCTCTCTGCTGTTGTTGTTTGGGAGCCTGTAGGTCGATTATTCAGGGAGACGTCTGCTAAAGTTGGTGATTGTATTAAGCTGTAGTCCTACATGCCAAGGGCACAGGCATTACGTGTCGCGTCTAATGGCGAAACAGCGTTATGATTTAATAACATATTCCTCCCACACTGTTAGCCACGGCCTCTCTCTGCCTCCCCCCCCCTCTCTCTCTCTCCTAGGGACTATTCCTCAGAGTAAATAATTAGGATTCCAGCTTGTCTGTTTGAAAGATAAATAGCTGACATGTGTGACGTTCTGAGAACTCGAAGACGTCTGGAAAAGAAGAAAAAACAACAATGATAGAGCAGACATGAGGAAAAGTTAAAAGCGTGTTTTGTTTTTCTAGCGGGATTAGGAAGCATCCTAAAATAACGGATATGTTTACAGAACGCGCTTCTAGGATGCTTTATTGGTCATATTTCACTGATTGGCAAATTATAAGGACGTGAAACTTGATTTAAAATTTCACGCTATAATATATTATTTGGACAGAGACAAATGCATGGGGTCCAAGAAGTTTAATATATATATAGTAATAATATTGTTGATGTTATTATTATTTTATCATGACGAATGTCATATATAGACTCTTAGGATGCTGTTTATGAGTAATATAATCATCAACTCATCAAAAGAATCATTACTAACTGTATATTCAACTTCTTGGACGACATTTTATTGAATTTGAATTAAATAATCCGATTTGAAAAAGAAAAAGGGCCTTGATATGAGCTATATATATATATATATATATATATATATATATATATATATATATATATATATATATATATATATATATATATATATAGATAGTCATTATATTTTTGATGATAATACTTCTTTATCATTCTTAAGCAGCACCATAAATATATGTTGTTTTTTTTTTAAACAACATTAAATCCTTCTAATAAATAAAAGTGATGGACTGAGCTGAGCCTTTTTGCTTCAACCCATCAAGACGTTTCATCTCTGGGGAAGTAATGAATACCAGCTGCTCTATCGCGCCTGACAGGCAACTTCTGGACGCCGCGGCCTTTTCGGCCATGAGCGCATAGATCTAATCTCATTTTATTACCTCAGTCTATTTTACGAAACTATATCTATCTATCTATCTATCTATCTATCTATCTATCTATCTATCTATCTATCTATCTATCTATCTATCTATCTATCTATCTATCTTCCCTCTAAAAATAAAAAAACATGTCTGTTTTTTTGTATATTTAACCATAACAACAATAGAAAGGGATTTCTAATTGTTCCTTACCGTTACTGTCGAACCAACAAAATTAAAGGAAATTATTAAAATAATAAAAATAAATCATAAATGTTTATTCGCCTTACAGATTTCTGTTAACCCGTTTGGGGGACAAACCCTCGCCTGTTATCGAGCAGCAATAATCGCTCGCGCAGATAGAATCACGGCTCGTGACGCTGAGTGGTGACAGAGTCGCGCGGACAAAATCCGGTAAATCATCCATGGAGGCCAAAGCAGGCTGGGCTGAGCCGGCGGGGGTTGACAGAACCAGGCTGCCTTCATCAGTCATGATAGGCTGGATGTTCTGGCGGCGCGCGCTCTGCTCGGTCTGCAGGATGGAGCGAAAACACGGCAAAGAAACGGTTCACATCCAGGCCTTTTTCTCTTTATAGTCCGATTATTTAATTCGAATTCTTCTTCATTGTTTTTGAAGGACATAAATTATTTAAAAAGCACCAAAAAGGAATAAAGAAATATGAAAAAAAAAAACACAATTACACCTTTTTTAGTTTACCAAGGTTGGAAACGTTAATGGAAAAAAACAAACAAACAAACAAACAAAAAAGTTAAAATGTGATTTATCTCGTTGAGTTTATTTTTTATTAAACATCAGTGTGTGTGTGTGTGTGTGTGTGTGTAGAGAGTGAGCGTAGAAGCAGTTTGCCCTCCTTGTGCCCCCTCCTCTAGAGCATCTGCTGGCTGTGAACTGGGCTCAGAAAGAGGTGGGGGAGGGTCAGGTGATGAGGAGAGAAAAGCAGTGGTTTCTATTCATGTCATGCCGCCTTTCATTGGAGGAAGATGGATTTAACTCTGTCATTTCTTTATTCTGTCTTTGCTAACCTTTCAGGTCAGGTTGCAGGGGACCGTTGGAGAGACACCGTCACGTGACCCCCGGTACCAAATGGTCTTCCGGCAGTGGTTTTCAGTAAGGACCGGAGCAAAAGACGCTGCCATCTCTCTCAGAAATGCAGAAGACGACATACTACGACAACTCCCCGACGCTCTTCGGTGGCTACTCCACCTACCAGGTGCAGGGAGCAGCTGCAGCTGCTGCCAATGGCTTTGGGGGCTATGATGCCCCGGTCCCAGTGTCCCACCACCAAGCTCCCTTCCAGTCGCAGACCCATCTGGATGTGGATTCGTACCAACACTCCGCCTGCTCTCTGCAGTCACTGGGCAATAATAGTGGCCACCAGCAGCAGCAGCAGCAGCTAGCAAAGGCCAAGGAGCTGAATGGCAGCTGCATGCGGCCCAGTCTGCCGCCCGAGCACCTCCCTGCCTCCCAGGTGTCCCCCCCACTGCCCCCCAAACCCAGCAATGGTAATGCCGCCGCTCAGCAACCGGGGGGCAGTGCTGGGTCTTCTACAGTCGCCAAATCAGGCCCTAATAAGTCCTCAAATTCCTCCTCCTCCACATCTTCCTCCACATCATCCAGCTCCTCTTCACTGCCGCCCAACCCGGCGCTGGCCAAGCAGATCTTCCCCTGGATGAAAGAGTGTCGCCAAACCACCAAGCAGAAAAACTGTTCGCCCAGCAACAACTCCAGCAACGGTGTGTTTTTAGGTCTTTATCTTTCTTCACACCCTGCAATTAAACACAATCTCCCTCATTCCTGCCATACATCACCTCTTCCCTTCATATCCGTTACTCATCAGTTCATTTGGCTTCAGACTTTCCTCACTCATTAGCATCATTCTGGCTGCTGTCCTGTTCTTATCTCTTATCTCACCACTTCACTCTTTCTGCGCCCTGCCTATCAACACTTTTGCTCCTGGGCTGGATCTCTGCAGTATAGGAAGATTTTCTGGGCTGAATTTGGTTTCTTCAGGTCACTTCCTTTTTAAAACCCTAATTTCAGACAGAAATGATCACATATAGTCCTGGTTTACCTGCTGAGTCATATCTGTAGGGAAAAAAGGACTTTTTGGTCCTGTAAATATTACCTCGGATTTTCTATATTAAATTTACTGCAAATTGTCTTTACTTTAAAATAACACCTTATATTTAATGTGCAACTTAGAATTCCATCAAAAGACAAGTGCAATTCATTAAAAGTATTAACAAAACCATTTAATCAAGTTCCTAACTTAACAGATGCAAATAAAATGTTCTTGGATATAAAAAGGAGAAAAACTTTTGAACTTATACCTTGTCTGACATCGTTTATCAGATTATTTATTGTTTATTTGTTGGTGCAGGTTGTGGCGCTGTTTTTTTGCAGCAAAATGTTTTGGGTTTGATCCCTTGTCCAGGGTCATGGTAGCAACAGGACAAGAATTCACTAGAAAACAAGTAAAAAAAAAAAAATTCTAAAAAATTCATTTTACTTAAGTTTTTATTTTAGATCAACTCTTCTTAGTGAGTAAAATCCACTTAAATTTTATTGAGTAAAACAATTTCCGAGTGAAAAAAACCTTCCATATTTTTCTAGTAAATGTTTTTCCAAATTTCTTTCAGTGTGATGAATTCAGCGGCTAATTTATGCTCAAAATAAATTAAATCATCTTTATTTTTTCTACCAAATTTCCTTCTTTTAACCAAACAATTTGTTAAACATCCCCATTAAAAAGCTAACAGGTCAAATGTAGAATTATACAAAATAATAGAGATAAACGGGGATAGTTTTAGTAAATCCCAGCAGGAAATGTCTGTATACTCTAAAGAAATTCAAACAGTTTTTATGTTTTTTTTCTTATGTTTTATGAGACTAAACATCTTGGAGGTAATAGAAATACAAATTTAGTAGCCATAAACTTTCCAACACTCATGATGTCAAATCTACCTTAAATATAAACATGTAAAAAACAAGCAGTAACCTCTGAGGGCGTTCATTCAACAAAATGGGAAGTTAGAAAATATACATACAAAATGTGTTGTTTAATGTATGTCATCTAAGAAAAATGAAAAACTTTACATTTGATGGAATCTAATAGTTCAATAGTTTATGCAATAAAAACATCTTTTTTGAAAGGTCTTTGCAAATAACACTTAAATGTTTTGTGTTTGTTTTTGTTTATTTTTATTGTTTATTTTTATACAGGGGATATTAATCAGAGTTTATAAAATATGACATAAAACAATAGATTTAGAAGATCTTATCAAAGATGAACATTTAAAATGACTTTTGAAAACATAAGTTATGTCTGACAATGACCAACGAGCTAAACTAAAGCTTCACATTTAAGTCATTCAATGAAAAAACTTGGTCTGTTTAAGAATGATAATAAAATAAAAATGTTTTGGTTCTACTGAAACAATCGACTATATTGAATTTTAGCCCCAGAACTTGGTAAATTATTTTCAATAAACAGGAAATAGACTGATTGGATTAAATCAGCTGTTGTTCTTTAACCCTTGGCAGGTTCAAGCCCGCCGTCTAAAACCATTGCAATGGTGAGCAGTAGCCTTAATGCGGCAGAATGAGGCCGCACATTTCTAGGAAAAGCATGCATCTAGCAGACGAGACACAACAGTTTATAGTTTAATTTTTAAAATAAAAGATTTAGTACATTTACATAAATGCAGATATTTTTAAGACATACAGGATGAAAAAATCTTAGTCCACGCTTGTTTTCTTCACTTTTTTGCTCCAAAAGGTACCCAAGCAACCCAATGAATACAGCTTTACAATCAGATATGGCTTTAAAACTGAGATGCATACATTTAAATAGTTGGTCGAATGGAAAAACTAATAATTGATGAGCTTGGAAAAGGAAAATATTCCTATAAAGAAAACAACACGAAAACATCAAACCACATAAATATAATGATAAACAAGAAAGTAAATACAATTAGCTTAATTTGTTGTTTGGCTATTTAGCAATTCTGATATTCCAAGTCATCGTTATTTTCAAGCATTAGGGTGTCCCAAATTAAAGCAGTAAGAACAGGTGAAAGAGCTAAATTAAATGATTTTCTAATCTTTTATATCACCACTCATCAAAGAAAGTATCACTGTCAAACTTAAAGGAATAGTACACCCAAAACATGATTAGCCTTCATTTTCTACTCACCCCCATGCTGAACAACACTCTGGAGTACTTTTTTGATATCTCAAATGCATCTGGAGATCTGGGAGGCTTCTTGCTGTCTGCTGACATTAAAATAATGGAGGTCTATGGCGCCCGAGGCAGAAAGGTCCATAAA